TTTCTATTTTTTCCTATTTTCCGCTAAAAACCTTATTCGGAATATAAGAATATTTTAAAATAAAAATTGTTAGATAGCGTTCAGACAGACAGCGCTTCATTTATTACACATTACCCATAAAAATCGGTAGCATTATTAGCGCGTATGTACTATATATCTATATGTAATAATTTGATAAATTTTTAATTCTTAAATATTTGTTTTATAATTTTTAATATAATTTTCATTTCTATAATTGTAATTTTGTATGTAATCATAATTAACAGCAATGCACTTTTAATGTAATGCTGGTAATTATGATTGAAAACTTACAAAAATAGTAAATTTACTAAACTTATGTGTAGTGAATTTTATTTCCTTACCAAATAATATTATAATAAATATCCCTAGCATATTATAATATATTACTTGTTTTAGTAGAAAGGTTAAAACTTAAAAATTAAGCTGTTTGATTGCTTACCGCTATAATATTAACTTACTCTCTCGATTAACTTCAAGGCGGAGTGAAACCAACAAATCGTGAAAATGGGGTAAAAAGTGGAAGTATTTTTAGGACCATTTTACGATTTTTTTTACGATCCACATAAAACCTTCATACAATGTATTTGTATAATTAAATATTAATTTTAACGAATATCAATTTCAGTCAAACCTCCTTTGCCATAAAGCAATAAATTAAATTAAATAGTAAAACGCGACTCTGCTGAATGGAATATCTTAGAGAAACGAGTATCACAGATTAAAAATTATTAATCACTTGCAGCAAAACGGTTAATTAACACTAGTTAAACCTTTAGAGATACATCAAAACAATATATTAAAACATTGTAGGTCTTAAAAAGGCCTACAAAATGTCAGTAAGAGCACGTGTCCATCTCCAATGGTAAGCTCACGATAACTATTTTTAGCTATATAAAACGTACCTAAGGACGAAAGTGAGCGAAGCGAGGGTGAGTCGCTAGTAATAAGTAAATATTATTTAAATACAATATTTTTTATTATGTTATATATATTATATTTATGTAAATTAAGCCATATCCAGGTACTCTAAACTTAATGTAGTGATAAAACGGTAAATTTGTGTGGTCGAGCTAATAAAGTAAGTGAACGTCTGATGTACGTCTAGACGTCTGATAGATTGTGTTTGATATTTATATGAGTTAATTCCCAATTCTGCTTGATTTTGAACCTCAAATTTAATACTAAGGCTCATTTACATGTTAATAGTATGTCATATAAAAGCTTTAAACTAGCAATAATTGTATGCAACGAATAGCGAGTAATTATACTCGTCAAAAACTTTCGAACTGTACAATTTAATTTGAAATATTGTATACAAGTTGTTAAGTAAGCTGTTTAGAAATGTAAAATCTCACTAGAAACAAAAAACAACGATTAGGACCGAAACCATGGTCGTATCTAGTGGCGTAGCTATGACAATGCAACTAATGCGATTGCATGGGGCAACTGATTCAAAAGGGCCCCAGCGGGTCACAAACGATTCTTTCATTCCAAAACTTTTTTTTCGAGGCGGCCCTCATAGAAGTTTAAAAAACCGCAAGAAAAAGGTTTAATTTTCCGGATATTATTTCATAATAGGCAAAGGGGGCACTTCCATTTCTTTTTACATTGAGGCCCAAAAATGCTAGTGTCGTACCACCAGTGGCGTACCACTGGTCGCACTATTGGTCGATTTATCAGATATCCTAAGATTATTGTATATAATATACAGAACTGGTACGGTGTAAATAAGCAATAAGAAGAAATAAGTTCTTTTAAAATCATTAACCAAATGGACAATGGTAATTTTAATTTAAAAATAAATATTCGTTTATTTAAAATGTAATTTTATTTACTCACTTTCAGCTAATATTTACTTTATTAACGATTTATTTAAAAAAAAATGATGTTGTTTATATAAATTTCCTTTTATTAAAAGAACAATATGAAATAAAAATTGAATTATAAAAGTTGCACAAAATATGAACTAAAAGATACTCTCTTACTATTACTACTACTCGTACATAATTGCTCATTAAAATATGTAAATGCTGCCCCGAGACTACGCAGATAGGTGCCTGACTTATTGACTGGACGGCTTAAACCAACATGTTGTCATTTTTTTGAAATATTATTGAAAAGAGTTCATGACCTGCCTTGTTGGTCTAGTTGTTAGATAGGCTACAGATCCAGAGGTTTTGTACCTATTCAAGTCCTAGGTCGAGCCAAGTCTTTGTACTATATTAAATGAGTATACAGCAACATACATATATTGTAAAAGACAATGAAAGATATAACGATTATATATAAGCTTAAAATTATACAAGAGTCAGTGAAATTGCAATGAAAATAGTGTACACTAAATGAAATTCTCTCGAGAAAGTCCTTCGAATGCTGCCTTATCTTTATCTATTATCTTCATTGACATTCAATTTCGTACAAATTGTTTAAATTTCTTACAATCTTTATTTCTATTGGATGAAAGAAAAATGACTAAGGAATTTTCCATTTTAAAGAAATCGACAGAATATAAAATTATATTAAAATAAATTATTATTGATATTTTAAATGAAACTATGTTTTCGAATTTCTTCGCGAATTCATTTTGATTTTTGGTTTCTGACATTTCGAATGCTTTAAAGCAAACAAGTAAGGGTAGTAAGTGTGTAGATTAATGTAAAGATCATAATAATAGCATAGCAATCCAAATTAATATTCGCTCGGGTTCGTCCTTAACTTGAATCCCCATTTCCACCCCCTTAAGGGATGATTTCCGGGATAAGAAGTATTCTATGTCCTTCCCAAGGTCTCAAACTATCTTCTTACCAAATTTCATCTAAATCAGCTCAGTAGATCCAGAGATTACCCCCTGAAACGTCACAAACTCCCAAACTTTACGTCTTTATAATATTAGTATAGAATATAGATAAATACATAGCTGTATAACTTAAAGACAAAGAGTTATTTTTTGTAGATTGAACGCGAACAAAATCGCAGGTTCTGCTGGTTATTTATAATATGGGTGATATAACAATGTTGTTACTTAATAATTATTTTGAGAGAACCGAAAGAGGCGCTAGATATGGACATACTCGTATATATGCTAAGATTATGGCACTTAGTATTCCACCATCTCTAGGAGGAAGCAATTCCGCAAGAGATATAAATTAAAATGTAAAATTATGCATGTTTCAAATAGTTTAATATTTAAATATAACTATTTTAACAAAAACAATCTGAAATTTTTTATGATTGGTACAGTACCTTGTTTTTGTACGTACCTTTAGGTACTAAACACTAGCAGTCTTTTCCAGCTTTGTCGCCCCAAAAAATAGTTTTCCTTATAAATATTTAATTCTTTTAAGCGTTCAAATACAAAAAATCGATTTATAGCGATTGCTACTAAAAAATGAAAAATACTTTTTCTCAGACTTTGACAAATAAAGCATGTTTTTTATAGTATTTCTATGCGAAATAATATAATATATGTAATGGAATAATGCACTTAGAAATCTTAGTTTCAAAGATCTACCTAAAAACTCTCAATTTTTTTATATCACTTAGTTATATGCATGAAGTACCACCCCTTTTTAACCCCCGACGCATGTGTGTATCTATCTGTCACAGAGAGATTACACCGTAGCTCTTAAACGGGTGAACCGATTTGGATGAGGTTTTTTTTATTTTTTTGCTTTTTTGACTGCAGAATGGTTTAGCGGTGTACATGAGATATATACGAGTATTTACTAAACTTCAAAAATATAGTTGCAGTCTCCGATTAAAACGGTTGTGACATACGGACATGATGAATTTATAGGGGCTCCATTTTTGCCTTTTGACTATGGAACCCTAAAAAATAGCATCAAAACAAACATCTTTGTAAATATTATTGCCATTTAGCAATAATTATTCGTATGCAAATCTGTGCTTTGAGTAAGTAAAGGCGAAACTTAATTGTACATGCAAGCTGCGACACCACGCGATCTTGACTCACAGTTGGAGATATGTCGTTCTACCACAATTGTAATAAATACTGTACTGATATAAAGTCCTTATTTACTTTTTATATTTAAAGTATGTAAAGTTCTATTTATAGCCTTTGCTTTTTAACCCAGTCGGGTTGTCGAAAATAAGAGCCTAACCCCGAAAATATTCTAGGCCAAAATTTTATTTCGCCAGCTTTTAGTCACTAGGAGTCAATGAGAGTGTAAATTTAAAATCGCGACTAAATTCAAGCGGTGCGCTAGCCGTCATCTTGATTTTAAGGGTCCCCCCTTAAAATCCTATAATAAAATCCTATAATAAATCCTATAATCCTATAATAAATCGTTCTTCCTCAACATCTCGTCCATTTTCTACAATTAAAATGGTGAAGATCAAAGTTGTAGGAATTTTAATTTCGCAGAAATTTGTTCCTGTACATTTAGGTCCTAAAGTCAATAAAAATCAAAATGAATCCACGAAGAAATTCGAAAATATATTTCCAAATATCAAATATTCACTGAGACTCCCCCTAAAGGTTAGGGAAATAAAATTTTGGCCTAGAATTTTTTCGGAGTTTAATGCACACCCAACTGGGCTATTTATTGGTGAGGAACGGAGAGAAATGTTACTAGTTTTTTTGTGTCGATAAGGATGTAACCGATGATAAAAACTTTAGTTTATTATTTTAACTGTATTTTTCTTAATTACTTAGTAATATCTGTTATTTCAGAATTCATTCAGCAAAATAAGTTAACTTCATAATAATATTAAAAGAAATAAAATAAAAATAATTCTGTAAAACAGGATCTAAGTGGTTTTGAATTCTTTAAATAGGCCTCTTTCCGTGTTTTTCTTGCATTTATACACATTTTACAACCACTTTTTCTAAATGTGTGTTTATAGATTACATTTATACTATGAATTCTTTCGATCCTAACTCTTAACTTAACATGATTCTTATGAACAATTTTAATTTTTGTTTTGATTTTGCTTATTTATTTTAATTTCATTTCCAGATGGCGAAAGATGGGTAAGAAGAAAAGAAGCTTTACGTGCGAGAAAAGGACCACAATACGCTTTTAGAAAAGAAAGAGCGAGACGACAGATAGGTAACTATACTTTTAATCGAATGCCGCTACCATCCAATTGCAGTATAATTCACCCTCCAACAAATGCACACGACACAATCTAGTTTATATTTTCAAAGGAGAAAATGGACTAACTTACCAGCTGCTGCATCGAGAGTTTATGGAGAAAATTGAAATAGTATTACTTACTATTTGTAGTATTTTCCGTCATAATAGTAATTACTAAGTGTTCTACACGTGTTTTATGTAAAATATTTTATATAAACTATGTTTAGTAGGTTTATTAACAAGAAATTAAATAAAAACTTTAAAAAAACCTCAACATAATAAACTAAATATTTATAGAAGGCATTTCAACGACACTAAATTCGACATCTCTGCAGATTTTAGTTTTGCAAAGAGTTTTGCAGATTTCATCAGGTGACGCTGCAGCTTCAGGTCTAAATACGAATGGCTAACTTACGCATAAATTGTTCATATCCTTTTACCGTCTAGAAAAGAGCTGATGGTCTGCAAACGTATGAATGGATTTTCTTGTTCTACACATAAGAACACTCTCGATCAAGTCAGTTCTTACTTTTCAATGAAAAAAAATCGGTTCATCCGTTTGGGCGCTACAATGCCACAGACAAACACGTTAAACTTGTAACACCCTTTTTTGCGTCAGGGGTTAAAAATATTTTTTTGCTATCATATTTTTATCTATGTATAAGCGTGAGCTTTATAGATCTCCGACAAGCATCGGGTCGCTAATGTATATATATATATAATACAAACTTAATCTTTTTAACAAAATTATCTTTATACTAAGGAATGTTATTATTGTTAATATTGTATTTATTATCAATGTCGCAAAACATTTGTTGAATACAAATAAAATACAACAAATAAAAGCTATCAATGTTTGTAAACAGTAAACAAATTATATAAAATAATCGTTGATTAACGTTATTGTTTATTTAATAATTTTGATTATTGAATACAATGATATCTTTTTTTAATATATAATACTACTTACGTTTTAACATTTAGTATAGATTACTCAGAGATGAGATATTTTCTCGCAAACTTCTAAAAAGTATCCTATATGTTGACCCGAATAACCAGCTATCATCATACCAAATTTCATCAAAATCTATCCAATGGTTTTCCCGTGATGCGGTAACAGACAGACAGACAGACGGACAGACGGACGAACGGACGGACAGACAGACAAAAATTCTAAAAACTATAGATTCGGCCTTTGTATCGATAATAAAGTCTATTTCAATAAGATTTTCCAAAAAATATTTCATGTACAGATTCGCCTCAGTTAGAATTTCATTATATGTATAGATTATATACGTCCATATATATATATATATATATATATATATATAATTTTCGAAAACTTGCTAGGCTCTCTCAGATACGCTGGATTCATCACGATGTTTTTCTTTACAGTGCCGTTTTTATACATTACACGATATATATTATTTTAATCCTCTTTAAGAAAAGGAACAACCAGTTTTTTAAGAAAATCTTGTATTTTTTCATTTTTCTTTTTGAACTACCTAAAAACAAGAAATTACTAAATTTAGGTGTATTTTATAGCTTAAAAAATTGTAAAACACTGAACATTTTGTCTAAGCTCGCTGTTAAGCATCACGACACGTGAGCAAAACATGTAAAATCTCACATATTTTCATTTTTCTATCAGCGATCGATTACAAAGAGTCAACTTTGCGAAGGGAGTGGAAGCTTTACAAATCGTAATCCGATGACTGTTATAGCATAGTATATGTAGGGGATGTCACAGGTGTTTGACTTGTACAATGTACGCCCAACGACGTCACAGGAAGCTTTGAACTCACACAATTATTATAAATGAAAAAGGTTTTATATATTATGTGAGTGTGTGTGTGTATATATGCATGTGTGTATGATCGTTATTATTGCATACTGAAATAGCAGAACGGAGTTGGATGAAATTTAATATACAGAGAGGCTACGAATTTGTGTAACAAAATAGGCTAAGTTAATAAAACCAAAAAGGCAGTGGAAGCCCAGTGGTAACGCGCTCGCTTGGAAAACCGAGTGAAGCAGGTTCAAATCCCGGGTCTCGAACCTGTGATATGTTCATGTGCGAATCATTTCAACATGATTACCACTTGCCTTACGGTGAAGGAAAACATCGTGAGGAAACCTGCATGTCTGAGATAACCTAGCAAGTTTTCAAAAGACATGTGAAGTCCGCCAACCCGCACTTGGCCAGCGTGGTGGGCTATGGCCTGATCCCCCTCGTCCTGAAGAGAGGCCGTAGACCGTTAAAAAGGGCTGAATACAATAAAAATTTGCCAAAAGATGGCGCTATATCTTCTTCTTCTCCCTGCCCATTTCCAAATCACTTGGGGTCGGCGCAGTACATCTTCAGTGTGAAGGAGACGGCGGAGAGGGAACGCGAGGCTAACGCCTTAGCAGACCCTCTTCGTCGCCGTCGGCTGGGGGAGAGGAGGCGCCGGTACGCGCATCTTCTCCCGCCACCCTAGAGGAGCTACTGCGGGGGGGTCTCTCGTTGACTCCCCTGCACGTCATCGGAGCGGTCGGGATGCCCTGCGAACCGAGGGCATCCTGATTTAGGCGAGGCAGGCCCGCGGGGTACGGGCCGTCCGCAGGGGTGTTGCAGTGAATGCGCAAGCGATCCTGCACACCCCATTGCACTGCGGTGACGGGTTCCGCTGTGGGTTTTAGTGAGTAGGAGTCTCACAGTACCCTGCCCATTGACGGCCGGTAGGGTCCCCATGATGGGTTTCCCCAGCGTCAACAAAAAAAAAAAAGTACATCTTCAGTGTATTGCTGATAGGATTTGGCAAAAGTTTTACGACCGGCCGCCTGCCTGACGTCAACCCTCCTTGGGAATAAAAGATGGCGCTATATGAATATATATATATATATATATATATATATATATAAGTACGTCAGATAACGCTATAATGGATGTTATAAATACGAAAGACAGCTAGGGATGCACCCGAGCGAGGCAAGACGTTCCTTTAGGTATACAAATGTTTATTCCAGTTTTTTTCTTTACAATCATGGGCTTCCTTCCTTCCTTCTTTATCCTTTAACACACTACAACTTAGTAATGTCGGAAAATATACGGAACTGCAAGTAGTAAGGTATTTTATGTTGTTTCATTCGGAAAAATTAAAATAATACTTAGTTTAGACATTAATATAAGGCATATATTTGTTCTCACTGGTCGTGTCGAGCAGTCGTCCCACCGGAATATGAGAGTGACAGGAATAGAGAGTGCACGTTGTGTCTGCGCGTACACTTGTGCACTATAATATCTCCTGCGCAGTTGGCTAGTCTCAATGAGATTGGCCGCCGTGGCCGGAATCGGTCGGGAGAACATCAATCATCAATCAATATTTGTTGTGTTATCAATAATACGCCATTTTGTTTGTTTATTTCTACTTAATTAGATGTAGCTATAAATTACTGTAACAGCTGATGTACTTGTTATTAAAACCAATCTCCAATATTACCTCAGTGTTATTTGAGGCTTGTAAGTGTATATGCAAAACTTTCGTTATTTTTAACACGCTTTAATTAGTTAGTAGAATAGAGTATTTCTAATTGTTATATCGATTTGATTCTTTGTAAATATACATGTGATCTAATAAAATCATAGAGATGACAATATAATAAAACTACTAGTACCCGCGGCTTTGCCCGCGTTCGAACTTCCGATAGCTAGCAAACTTACAGGATCTCCCACTGGTCCTATCTGGAGATTGGCTGAAAATTTTATCTAAACCACTCCAGCCGTTTTGGAGTCTATAGGAAACTACATACACATATCGAGTTTTCTATAAAATACTATCGGCACTCACGGTTACGCCCGAATTCAATTTACAAAAAAAACTTTTTGGCATTATGTTAGTGTGTCTGTGTGTGTGTGTTTGTGTGTAGTGTAAGAAGGTGAAAAATACTTTATGATTTATTCTCATACCCAACAAATATACAAAAAAATCATTAAAATCGGTCGAGCCGTTTCGGAGTAGTGCGACCACAAACACTGTGCCACGAGATTTTTATTTAACAGATATAGATTGTTTTATTTGTTACCATTAAGCTGACGTGTTGATGAAGTTACAATGGAGACAGTAGAACTTTTCCATGGCTATTAGTAAAATCTTCCAGTTCTAACTGATTTTTTTTAAAGATAAATATTAATAAGATAAAGAATATATTAACTGATAGTATACATACTGCTCTAAACCGTATTACCTGCATTTTTTTTAAATTATAATTATTCATAATAAACATAAAAAAGCAAAGAGTAATTGCCTGTAATAGGATAAAAAAGAACTCTGTCAACATAAGCTTAGCTTGTTTTTAATCTCCTTAGCCGTTTAAATCGATAGGGGATATTGTTACATAAAAAAAAATTCTACCTTGTTTTGTTTGAATATTATATTACCATAATGTGGATAATGGAGTGTTCACTCAATCAACAAGATTATTTTACAAGTAGGTAAATATCCTATAGTTCCTTAGAACTGGTTATGAGTATTTTTTAATTGTAATTCTAATAAAATATATTGCACAGATCTCATTATCTATACATATAATAAAATTGTAACTACTCCAAATCTGTACATTAAATATATTTTGGAAAATCTTATTCAAATAAATATTATTATCGATACAGAGGACGATTTTAGAATTTTTGTCTGTCTGTCTGTTACCGCATCACAGAAAAACCACTGGAGGGATTTTGATGAAATTTGGTATGATGATAGCTGGTTATCCGGGGAAAATATCTCACTTACGAGAAAAAATGCAAAAACTGCAATGTAAAGAGTATACTAATATGTAAAACCCAAGAATTTGGTCTTGCAGCCGCGGGCAATGCTAGTTAACAATACGAACATAACATTTTTCCAAAGCTTTCGATATACAGTAACTCTGATATAGTAGGTTATCTATACATGATTAGTACAGTTTGTTAGGCTGTTAGTGCTATCCGTAAG